GCTATTTTCCACAAATCATTGTGGAGATTATCTATCTCCTTTTATTGGAAATATTTAAAAGAAGCAAGATCTCACAAATGGGAACATTTATTACACACATACAGAGTTCCTTGCTTTTTCACTTAATCTATCATTGCAGATTATTCTACATTAACATGTGTAGTTCTACCTTATTCTCATTAATATTGTATTGTGTAAAGGTACTATATTTACTTAATCAGTACCCTTTTCTTAACTATTTAAGATATTTTAAGTGTATGGCTATTAAATATTCTTTGTGTATCTTAGGTGAAGAAGTTTGAGTTTGTCATACTCTATATCATAGTAGAAAATAATTAGCATTACTTTTAAGATTCTTTCTTGCTTATTTGTTTGTATGTATGTGTACATATGTGTACGTGTGCTTCTTTTTGGCTCCATAGCCTATCCTTCCCCGCCATACTTGTGTGTTTATTAGGAGTTTTTTCCTACATATTTGTTTTGTCAAAATGTGAATATTACTTCTTGGTATATGTATTATTTGTTTACATAAATAAAATTATATTCTCCCAAATATTTGTTCTTTGTCTTTTCTACTATTTTCCCTGGTCCATAAATCTTGAATCCCTAAATTAGGGAATGACCTCTGTTGCTACTCATGCAAAAGTGAGCCCAAACCTGGATCAGAAGAGCAACACAGGAGGTGCAAGAGGAGTTGCATTTCCTTTCCCCACCTCTTTTAACCACCAATACCAACCCATGCCACTCACAGTGCTACAGAGTCCTTAGTTACACACTTAAGCAAAGTTTTCTCAGTTTTCTGGATTGTTTGTCCATGCCTAACGCTTCATCTTGCCAAATTAAGGACGCTACTGAGATTTTGAATATACACTTTATAGTGTATATTTAGTGTATTAGCAAGGGTTATCCAGAGAAACACAATCAGTGGTGTAATTCAGTTCAAGTCCAGAGTCCTGAGAACCAGGGGAACAGATGGTGTAAAATCCCAGTCTGAAGGCCAGATGAAATGAGATGTCCAGCTCAAGCAGTGAGGCAGAAAAAAAAATGGGTGAACTCTTCTTTCTTCTGCCTTTTGTTCTGTTTAGACCTTCAATGTATTGGATAAAGCCCATCCACTTTGGGAAAGCAATCTGCTTTCTTGAGTGCACTGATTCAAATGCTAACTTATGCAGAAGCATCCCCATAGACATAAGGAGAAATAATGTTTAATCTGGGTACATCGTGATCAATTGAGTTGACAAATACAGTAAACCATCACAGATTTCTTCTATAATACTCTTTTGTTCACCTGAGGGAAAAAAAAGTATACATTGTATTTGTTGTTTGTTGTTGGTGGTGGTTTTTTTTTAATTTTTAAATTTGTAATTATGGGTACATAATTTTTGCATGTATTTACAGAGTGCATGTGATATTTTGATAGAGGCATACAATGTGTCTTTTTAATGTACTTGAGCCTCTATGTTGCTTTTCAAAAAATCCTAGTTTATTTCATGAATTTGGTAATGTTTGTAGTTTTAGCCCTGATGTACTGTTCTTTCCATCATTTGATTTGTTTGTGCATTGCAGGCAGATTCTGGGACAATGGTTTTATTTTCCTGTATGTTAATGGCCTTCTTTTCCAGAAGTTCTACCAGATACACTTTTAGTAAAGAAAAAAACAATTATGATTACCATAAGAATATCAATTTGATATTTCATAATCTTGTTTTATTTGTTGAAATAACAAAGTGAAACTACATTTTATCTCCATCAAAACATGTTTGATTAAATTGCGAATTAGAGAAAAATCTTCTCCTTATTAGGTAAATTAGTTCCATTTGACCATGTAAGTTTTGAGATAAAAAGAAAACAACAGCCAATGAAAATTATATGAGGTATAAATCTTAGGTACATTATGTCTTCACCATATATTTTGTCATATGGAAAATTCCATGGCCAAAACATTTCTTTGAGAGGGAAATCAAGACTTGGTGGTATATAATGAGCCCTAGGCTGAAATTCAGACCATTTTGTATCAATGTGATTTTGCTCTGTCACGATCTTGTTATAAGACCTTGTCGAAGTCACTCCAATACTCTTGTGCTTTTCCTCATCCTTGTGAGTAAAATAAAACTGTTAGACTAGATTCTTGCTATTCAATATCTGGTTCATTAACTAGTAGTATCAGAATCACCAGAGGATTTGTTAGAAATGGAAAAACTCAGGCCCCCAACCTATTGAGTTTGAATCTTCAATTAATTTAACAAGCTACCCAGGGTATTTATATGCAATTTAAGTTTAAGAAACTCTGGACTACATTAGTAGTTTTTATTCAGAGGTAGACAAAGTTCAGACAATTCTGTGAAGCTTAATAGGCCTTTGCAGTGGGGAAGGTAGAGACCTAACAGGTACCATTTGCTGTTTCCACTCTTCAAATGGAACGGTTCCTGTGTATCTGTTTAAATATTCTGTTTGTTTAAGATATTCTTTTCTCCAAGGTCTTTGTTACAGAAAATATTGCGCTACTTTAAAACACCAACACTAAAAAATAAAATATGATGCTATGAGAGAAGTGTTATAATAAAGATGATCTCAGGAAACTTTCTATTCTGGGCAGTTCAAAGATCACAGGACAAATCTTTGAATCTAAACCACATCCCTCAGAAAGAATACAACTGTCTGAGTCAACAAAATAACTGTTACATTTACTAGCCCAGTTAGCCATTTTCTGTGTATGAATATATCACGGCTCTGTTAATCTCATACTCCTGTACTTTCCTAGCATCATGTTGTGAGTACAAGTTGAATGAATGTAGCACTGGGATCTAGCTCAATTGTCTGGATTGCTCTAGTCTGCAACATTCCTCCCAGCTTTCATCTCTTTCTTTAATACCCTAACCTTTTATTTCTTTTATATTCTGAAATTACATTAGTGAATTCTTCCTGGGAAGCACTTTATTCAATAGAGTATAGCAAAGTAATATAAATGATGATGAACAAAAGGAAAGGTATCCTCCTTAATTTTTGAACCAGGAAAGATCAAGAACTTTAAATGACAATTTGATTTTCTCTAAAAAGAAATTGCCTTTGTATTTCCCATTAAGCTTTCTAATTAATTTAGTAAAGGATTCTTGTAAACCCTGGAGACAGAACTCTTGGCAGTCTAAAAACTATCCCTATCTTCCCATGGGAGATATAATTCAATTAGTTTATGTAATGCTTTCTAATAAATCATTCTATATATACCAAGCAGTAGAGCAAAGAGAGAAACATGTTGTTTCCATACCATTCCCTGTGGAATTCTGCATTTATATTTTGTAAAAATAATTGCAGTACCTATAGGAAGTCCACTAAATGCCCTTGGTTATCCTTAAGGAATTCACATTTTCAGCAAAGGTAGAACAAATATCAGAATGGTCTTCATGTATAAAAACCTATATTTAGCTCTGTCACTTGGGTGAGTATAAAAGACCACCATCTGGCTTGTAGACATCACTTGAATTTTATACTCAAGGGTACAATCTATTTCTTAATGAAAATGATACTAATTAAACCCTCTGATAATTTGACAAACTTTTATTTTTTTAATGGATACATGGTAAGAATGCAGTGGCTTTCATATTAATCTTGTTAATATGAGTTTTTATTAACACTCTTTCAAATTCACTAAACATTTGTTAAGCATAGGTGTCAAATAGTGAGAGTTCTAGAAAATTATCACTTTTCAGGGCAAAATGCTGAAAAAGTATTTTATGTTTGTATATGTAATTATCCTTGAAAGTGTAACAACTTGAGACCCTAAAATGCAAATGATTCAAATTTATAAAAATTCATGAAGAAATTCTGTGTAGATAACTCATTGAAAATAAATAGTTTTACTAATGATGTCATAAGTTTCCATAAGTTTATTTCTCAGAATTATGGGTACAAATCTTTTTAATTAACATTACATTGAAACATAATGTCATATCATGTTTATGGTACTATGACATATACTTTATACAATCTAAGCACATATAAAAAGCTTAAAATGTAAACTTAATAAGCATATGGTAGAAAGTAAATATACAGAGAAAAAAAAATTTTTATTAAGGGCAAATGCCAAACACTGAAACAGAGACTGATAATGCCCTTAGTTTTCAGAATGGAAAGGAAAGAAAAATGATATTTACTCATCAGCTGTTATGTTCCAGGCATAGTCCCAAGTGCTTTATATTCATTTTAGGGAGGGTGACACTATTGCTATTTTACACGTAAGTGTTATTACAATAAATAAAATGCCATTTGTTGAATGAGTGAGTAAAAATAGGAGAAATTTAAAAATATTTTTAAGCTTAAAAAATAATAGATATTATCCAGATTCCTCTCACTCCATAAGACCCTTGTGCTTCTAGGACTGCAGATGACAGAAATGCTGGACATAAATTTGGACAAATGCATGGGGAAAGGTGGGAAATTGAAAGATTATGGTTAGATTCAAATATCAAATATTATAGATGTTTTAGGCTTTTCAGAAGTATAAATCAATTGTGAAATGTCTGTTCTAAATAAGTATATGATCAAACTCAGTATTTCTGTGCAAGTTAACTGAGGTACTATTAATCATTATCCCAGGAAACTAGAGTTAAAGTGGGGCTGTCCTGGGAAAACTGGCATATGTGGAAGATACTTAGTGTCAGTGAATTCCTGCTATTATCTACAGAAGAAATTTGCTTTAGCACCATTATTGGTGGGGGCTGGAAGAGGAAGTTCTCTGACATGGTACATGTTTTACTAAAGCTTAATAAAATGTGGTTTGTTTTTTTTTCTGGAAAATCAGCAATGGGATATTTGACAGGGTATTTCTGGTAATAGCAAGTAAAAATCTTTTATTACCATAAACATATTTTGGTTGCTAGAAGAAGAAAATATCAGACAAGCTTACATAACGATTTCTTAAGAGATGTTTAAATAAAAATATACTTTTAATAAAATTGTGTTACCACTAATAATCAAATCTAATTCTCTATTTCTTAATTTAGGACTGCACATCAATTCCTTGTATGAATGAAGGCATCTGTCAGAAGTCAATACATGGATTTACTTGCATTTGCCCACATGGATACACTGGTGCATATTGTGAAAAAAAAATTGATAGTTGTGCTGAGCCTGAGCTGAATTCAGTCCTCTGCCTTAATAGAGGGATTTGCATAGATGGGCCTGGACACACTTTTGACTGCAGGTCAGTGTTTATTTATTCACAAATAACTAAATATATATTTAGGAGAGCTTAGAAACATGTCATTAGCAATGTACTCTGAAATATAGATACTAAGTCATCAAGTAAGTTTTTATTTTAAAAATATATAATCATAACTTAGAAAACAAGTAACCTAAAAGCATTGCTGATATTTTTCAAATACTAATTTTATGTTTTGATTTCCCAGTTTAATCATCCTTTATTTTATAATTGTTTCACATCCCTGTCTTTCCTAAAAGTGGGCTTTGTTTTTTTCTTAAATATTACACCAAATGATTTATAAATATTTCATATTTACAGTATAATTCTTAGCCAGAGACTCATTCGTGTACTGCTATGTCTATCTGCTAAGATCTTAACAATTTATAATAAATATTATTTGAATAATAAAAATAAATTAATCTATCACTATATTTTGAAACAGTTATTATGTATCATTTTAACTTCTTAGGAGATTAATTTATATTTCCTTTGTTCTTTATGATTATATATATATATATATATAATTGACTGTTCATTTGAGAATTTAGCCACTATCTGTTCAACTTATAAAATATTAATTGAATCCAGGTATTTAAAAAAAATTCTCATGTATTTTACCTCTTTTCATTATCTCATTTTCATGTGTAACAGGCTGATGTTAAGTCAAAAATTGTTGAACAACTGTGTTTCTGTCATAATATCTTAAATTACTGACAAGTTTACAATTTGTATTTTGATACATAATGATTTACTAACAAAGTACATCTATTATTTCCATATTTTATTAATTACTTCTTTTTACTATACTAAGGTATTCTGCCTTTTATTAAATACTACAACCACTATATTTTCTTTGTTCAATATCTAGGGTATATTTTGCCCATTTATTTATTTTGGTCCCTTTTGTATCATTTTATTTGATGTATATCTCCAGTAAGGCACATGTAGATGCCAATTTCACATGAAATCAAGACTATTAACTTTTCATTTAGCATGTGCAATGTTGATTATGATGACACTTTCATTATTTATTACACATTGCTCAATATGCCATTTTCTTTTGAGATAGACATGTGTGTGCACCCATTTGTGTGTGTTTGTGTGCATTTAAAATCCTATTGTCTTTCTTGTGTCTTTTATTTTTAAGCATTATGTAAAACAAAATTATGGTGACAACCACTGCAAGGACCCTCAGGGTTATAGCCTAGTAAATTCCTGGATTAAGTCAGCAAAAGTAAATTGAATATTTATTCCCAGTTGATACAATGTTATAAATCAAGGTTCTATACATGGAAATCCATTTTGTTCATAAAAAAATGATCAGAGAAATAAGTGAATATAAAACTAAAAATGCACAATTTTATAACCTGTTAGGTTTGTTAAATCCATCACTGCAAGAGCTCTTAGTTCATTTAGTGTTGCTATAACAAAACACCTGAGCTGCGAAATTTATAAAGAAAAGGAGTTTATTTGGCTCATGATTCCAATTGCTAGAAAGCTCAAAAGCATGGTGCTGACATCACTTGTCTTCTGGCCAGGGACTTGTGCTGCATCATAGCATGACAGAGAAGCAGAAGGGGAAGTTGGTATGCCAAAAACACCAAACAGGAGAGGCCACCTTGCTTTATAACAATCTGATCTCCCAGGAACTAATTTATTCCCACAAAAAGTAATCCATTCCTCAAAGAATTAAGCCAGTCTCATAACAAAAAAAAAAAAAAAAAAGCATAATTCTGTCTTAAAAACCTAATCACCTCTTAATGGCACCACTCCCAACATTGCTACACTGAGGATTAAGGTTCCAACATGAGTTTTGGTAGGAATACTCAAACCATAGCAAGGTCCTTTGTAACTATTTCTTTAGGGGAATGTTATTCATGGGCTAGTTAGGCTGATCTTTCTTGAAACATGAAGTCAATGGAATTCAGACTGAAGATCCCTGCTCCTCTTCCTGGCATATCCGCCAGGGACAAGCATAGGAATTCGTTACTGCTACAAGGTTATTCAAGTTGCATTTAAACAAGAGTCATCTGTCTCCAAAACTTTCACTGCTGCTTCAGTGTGTCAGAAAGCTCCTGAAAGTCTGTGAATGGTTAGGCTTTGAGAGGTGCAGTTTCTACTGGGACTTCCACACAGCCCTGTGAGGAGCTATCAGTATTGGCACCATGTAAAGACAGTTCTTAGATCATTCACCAATGCAAACTCATATTCTTAGATAGGAGAGTTCTTGGAGGCAGTGCTTTGCAAATTAAATCCTCATATTTGTATATTACCTACTAGTTAACCTGTGATATATTTATTTAAAATCATAATAAAATAATAATTTATTTAGAAGATGAAATGAAACTTACTATTTGAAACCTATCTTGCATTCTTCATATTTAATCAAAAAGTAGAATCTCACTCTTAAAACCCTGATAAATTAGTTTGTAATTTTCTTCTTTATGTTGATTTTGCTTCAAAGTTTACACCAAATAAGTTAAAGTTAGTGTTTCTATTCCAATTGCTAGTTTATGTGTTAATGAGCTTGCTAAGGTTTACTTGAGTTTAAGAAAATAATATTTAAGTTTAGAATCTTGTACCTTGAGGATATTTAAACTGAAGTTTTATTTTTTTATAAAAATTGCTATATTAAATATTAAAATGTTTCAGCCCTCAATGCTCTACATAATATTCTATAGGCTTGGTTTCCTGTGATTTCAGGAGAGCCATTTTTCTTCCAATTAAAATCTTATTGTGAATTACATTAAATAAACAAACAAACCAAAAAGATAGAAACTCAAGTACCCTTGAAAATTGCTGGCAAATTTAAACTGCTAATGTAAAATATTTTCTTGTGTTATTAGATCAACATATTAATTTTAACTTCATACAGTATAAATTTCTTAGATGTTATCTTTGAGGATTATATGCTATTATTTTTCTTTCATCTTCATCATTGCAGAAAATAAACCAGAGAATGGCTTATTTTCATGAATGTTACATGTTATGAATTCAATTAATTTACTTCCTTCTTGGAAGCTGACATGATTTTTAATTTCTTTAATTAACATGTATAATATACTTATTGTAATGATTAACACAAAGAGAACTTATCATTTAATTCCTATCTGATTTATCTTTGAAGTTTTATATGTTTAACCAGAATATGTGATAAGTGAGATGTTTCTCTTATTTTCTTTTTCAAGTCTGGAAAGTTGTTATTATTATTATCATTTTTTTCTTTTGCTTACTGTTGGTGATTCACACATTCGGCATTCTACTGTGGGTAGTAATATTGCTTACCTATAGTATATGATACATTTTAAAATTTGTCCTTTATGCGTTTCACACTTTCAGTTTTCATATCTTTTGTGTTATTTTTTCTAAATTTTCTATTTAATTCTCAAACTTTTATCCAGTTTTCAAAATTTTTTTCATATTATTTATAATCTTTTACTTTTCAATGCAGATCAGCTTTTAACTGTTTTCCTTCATTGTAAATGTAATGCCCACCCAACAAACCATATTATTATTTTCTGTTTATTAAGCAATTTATTTCAAAAGTTCAGTCTTTTTTTCAAATTCTTGTAACTGGGTTTGGCCTCATTTTCTTACAGAATTAAGTTGACTCAGAGTCTCAGTTACTATCATTTTTCATCCCTGCTTTATTAATCTTCATGATTGTTACCCAGATGTCTCAGAAGACTGATTTTATATCCCAACTGTTTTGGACAGACTCTTGTTCATTGAATTATTTCTATGTTTACAAGACAGTTTTAAATGATAAACCTGATCCCCGAAATGACTTGGACAGAACCATGTGTTAATGCAGAGGCACACCTGAGAAAGCCTATTTTTACTACGTGTTAGGGGTGCTTAGATCTAGGGTGAAATTGCAGAACAAATATGAGTCTGTTTAATTATCTTCTCTACACTGTTTCAATTTTGAATATTGGGCTTTCTAGGTCAGAGGGGTATTAGATTTACAGTTTGTCAGTTACTGATTTTTGTCATGAAAGCATTTTGTTATTTTAGATTATTTTATAACTGTAACAATGGTACATAATAAGAATAGCTAGTATTTGTTTTTACCTTCCTGAAGCAATAGCTACATTTTGAAAGACATAGGTAGATTCAGAAAGAAAAAAAGAAAGAAAGAAAGAAAGAAAGAAAGAAAGAAAGAAAGAAAGAAAGAAAGAAAGAAAGAAAGAAAAAGAAAGGGAGAAAGGAAGCAAAGAAAGGAAGGAAGAAGGAAGGAAGGAAGGAAGGAAGGAAGGAAGGAAGGAAGGAAGGAAGGAAGGAAGGAAGAGAAAGAAAGAAAGAAAGAAAGAAAGAAAAAGAAAGGGAGAAAGGAAGCAAAGGAAGGAAGGAAGGAAGGAAGGAAGGAAGGAAGGAAGGAAGGAAGGAAGGAAGGAAGGGGAAACAAGGTATGGAGGAAAGAGGAAGGAATGAAGGGAGGGGAAGAAGGTATGGAGGAAAGAGGAAGGAAGGAAGAGAGGAAGGAAGGAAGAAGAACAAATGGAGGGAGGGAGGGAAGAGGGAAAAAGGAAGAAACTTATGCTTGACAGTTTTTAATATGATCCTTGAGGGTAAAATGAATGAACCATTGATATACAGCTAGTTTCCTTATTACTGCTGACAAATACATAGGCAATATTACTTTGGATACTGAAATAAAATAAATTAATTAACGATTTCAAGCAAAATAAGTTAGTATTAGTTTTATATAAACATTACTTAGCTGTTGGGACTATAGTAACATACAATGTAAATTTATAACAATACCTAAGATGATTTCTGGAGAAGTGAAATGGCATTTGAATCCCTAAACTTATTTTTAGTAATATATGTTTTAGGCAATTAAAACTCTTGTGATTAAATTTATATTATAAAGAAAGATCAATTTAACAATATACACATTTAAAAACAGAGAAGAGAATGACTAATAATTGATGAGATTTTCAAAGTATTTGCTATTTACAGACTGTATTTGTTATTTAAAACAATTGAAGATGTCA